TGTGGGGACAGGGACACGGGGGGATGTGGGATCATCTGTGGGAATGGGAAAATTGGGGGATGTGGGATCACCTGTGGGAACAGGGACATGGGGGGATGTGGGGACAGGGACACAGTGGGATGTGGGGACAGGGACACGGGGGGGATGTGGGATCACCTGTGGGAATGGGGACATTGGGGGATGTGGGATCACCTGTGGGGACAGGGACACAGGGGGATGTGGGATCATCTGTGGGAACGGGGACATTGGGGGATGTGGGATCACCTGTGGGAATGGGCAGTTGGGGGATGGGGGGACACTGGGGGGGGCTTTGGGGACACCAAGGGTTGGGGTTTGGGGGTCAGGAAGGTCTTGGGGTTGAGGATTTGGGGGACATTGAGATCTTGGGGTTGGGGAACATTGAGGGCTTGGGCCTTTGGGTTTGGGGGACTTTGGGGTCTTGGGGTTTGGGGACACCCAGGGCTGGGGGTTTGGGGATGTCCCTGGGGGTCTCCAGGTCTCGGGGTGGGGAGGTGGTGTCACTCACCTCCAATTCCGGGGGTCCCTCCTGACCCCAAACGCTGGTGACAATTGTCCCCCGTCCTTGGGAGTCCCCTGGGCCTGGGGGTCCCGTGACGACTGTCCCCTGTCCTGGGGGGTCCCCTGGGGGTCCTGGGGGCAGCTCCAGCTCCGGGGGTCCCTCCTGTCCCCCAGGGCTGGTGACACCTGATCCCTGTCCCTGGGGGTCGCCCAGGGCCGGGTCCCCAGGGCTGGGGGTCTCTGCTTTGGGGACAGTCCCATCGGGGGGTCCAGGACCCTCCTGCTCTGAGGGGCTGGGGACCCCCAGCACTTGGGGCTTGGGGACCATCACCGTGGGCTCAGCCACCTCCTGGGGGACAGTGACAACTGCCCCCTGTCCCTGGGGGCCACCTGGGTCAGGGACACTTGTTCCCTGTCCCTGGGGCCCCCCCGGGTCACCAGGTTTGGGGACAGTTGCCCCCTGTCTCTGGGGACTCTCAGGATCCGGGGCCGTGTCCGTGGGGCCCCCCCGGGCCATCCCCAGGTCTCTGCGGGCGGGGGGGGGTCCCCCGGGGCCTGTGGGGAGGGGACACCACAGTCAGGGGGGGTGGGGGACACCCCCCCAGTGCTGGGGGTCCCTGTTCCCCCCCATGTGCCCCCCGTGTCCCCCCGGACCCACCGGTGGGCTCTCGGTTCCGGATGGTTTGGTTGATGCAGAACCTCCAGCGCCCCACGGGGGATGATTGGGGGGGTCCTTCCCCTGGAGGGAGGGCGAGGGGAGGGGTCAGGGGGGTGGGGGGTGACCCCAGCCCCCCCCGCTCCTCCCCCACTACTCACCCACCCCTGCCGGCTCTGGGGGTCCCACCTGAGGAGACACGTTTGGGGGGGTCAGTGGGGAGGGGGGGCCAGGGGGGGCCGGGTGAGCCCGGGGGGGTCGGGGTGGGGTCACCTGGGGGTCCTGTGGGGGGGTCCCGAGGAGCTCCCGGGCCTGGGCCACGATGGCCTTGAGCTCCTGCACGAACTTGTCCCGCTCCCCCTCCAGCAGGAAATTGTCCTCGACCTGTGGGGGGGATTGGGGGGATGCGGGATTAGGGAGGACAGGGATCAAAGGGAGACACAAGGATTGGGGGGGACACGGATTGGGGGGGCAGGGATTGGAGGACACAGACTGGGGGGTCACAAGTGGGGGGGTCACAGTCAGGGGGCCCAGATGGGGGTCCCAGGCTGGGGGTCACCATGTAGCAGGCGATGTCCTCGGGCGCGTCCCCGTCGGCGTCGAAGCGGAACGTCACCATCTTGCTGTCGTGGGTCTCCAGCTGACACTCCACCGTGTTGTCACCGCGCGAGGACACCTGGGGGGGACACTGTGAGGGGGGTCCCTGTGCCCCCCCGACCCCCCGGGACCCCCCAAGGCCCCCTGACCTGCAGCACCGTGAGCTGGAACCGGGGGCTGCGGGCGCAGGACGGGCGGCGCTGCCGGGGCCGCTCCGCTCTGGGGACATCGGGGACATCCAGGACGTTGGGGACGTCAGGGACATCGGGGACACAGAGCAGCGTGGCAGCCTCGGGGGGGGCACCTGCTGGCATGGGGGGCACCCCCAGGGCTGGTGATGTCCCCGCAGTTGGTGGCACCCCTGGGGCCGGTGGCACCACAGATGGTGGTGGCATCTCTGGGGCCGGTGACACCCCCGTGGCTGGTGGTGGCATCTGTGGGGTCGGTGGCATCACAGAGAGAGGTGGCACCTCTGGAGCTGGTGGCACCCCCTGCACTGGTGGCATCCCTGGGGCTGGTGGCATCACGGCTGGAGGTGGCATCTCAGGAGCTGGTGGCATCCCCTGCACTGGTGGCATCCCGACTGCTGGTGGCATCCCTGGGACAGGTGGCATCAGGGGAGCTGGTGGCATCACACATGGAAGTGGCATCCCTTGGGGTGGTGGCACCCCCAGGGCTGGTGACATCCCCATGGCTGGTGGCATCACAGATGGAGGTGGCATCTCTGGAGCTGGTGGCATCCCAGCAGTTGGTGGCATCCCTTGGGCTGGTGACATCCCCATGGCCAGTGGCATCGGGGACGGTGGTGGCATCTCTGGAGCTGGTGGCATCATGAGTGGAGGTGGCATTCCTTGGGCTGGTGGCATCACAGACAGTGGTGGCATCTCTGGAGCTGGTGGCATCCCTGTGGCCATCGCTGGGGTTGGTGGCACTCCTGGAGCTGATGGCATCCCCACAACTGGTGGCATCCCTGTACCCAGTGGCACCCTCAGGGCTGGTTGCACCCCCAAGGCTGGTGACATCCCCATGGCTGGTGGCATCCCTGGAGCCACTGACATCCCTGCCACCAGCTGTGGCTGCACGGTGGGGACGGGCTGTGGTGGCACCCCTGGACCTGGGAGCATCACTGGGCATGGTGACACCCCTGGACCTGGTGCCATCCCAGGGACTGTTGGTGGCATCCCTGGGACTGTTGGTGCCATCCCAGGGACTGTTGGTGGCATCCCGGGGACTGTTGGTGGCATCCTGGGGACTGTTGGTGGCATCCTGGGGACTGGCTGCAGCTGCACAATGGGGACCAACTGTGGTGGCATCACAGCCGGGGGTGGCACCCCTGGGGCTGGTGACAATCCCAGACCCGGTGCCACCTCCAGAGCCGGTGGCATCCCATGGGCTGGTGGCACTGCTGGACCTGGTGGCACCCCCAGAGCCGGTGGTATCCCAGCTGGAGGTGGCACTCCTGGAGCTGGTGGCATCCCGTGGGCTGGTGGCACTGCTGGAGCTGGTGCCACACCCAGAGCCGGTGCCATCGCTGGAGCCAGTGACACTTCCAGACCCGACGACGCTCCTGGACCCGGGGGCATCCCTTGGGGTGGTGGCACCCCCAGGCCTGGTGGCGCTTCCGGAGCCGGTGTCACCCCCAGTGCCACCCCCGGCCCCGGTGCCCCCGGTGCCACCTGCAGGGGGGTGACCCCGACGTCCCCCTCGGGGGGCTCTGCCGGGACCCCTCCGGCGATGTCCCCCGATGTCCCCTCGGCCCCGGGGGGCACCTGTGGGACAGGGGGGCAGTGCTGGGGGGGGCCCCTGGCCTGGGGCCCCCCCCAAGTGTGACAGGGACTTACCGGGGGGGGGCCCTGCTGAGAACTGGGGGTCCAGGGGGGCTCCGGTGACGTCCAGGGGGGTCCCGGTGACTTCCGGGGGGATTCCGTTCTCTGGGAGCCCCTCGGCTGTGGGGAGCAATTGGGGGGGTCACTGTGGGGGGGTATTTGGGGG